TTTTTTTTTTTTTTGTTTTACAAACTACCTGCAATTATTATGAAGGAGTTTTTTTCTTGCATTTTTCCAAAATATAAGATACCATTTATTATGCAAGTAATTTAAAGGAAAACTGTATAATCTAGAAAGCTAATGCTTGTTTTCTTTCTTTTTTTTCCTCCTTTCTCCCCCCTCCCCTCCCGTTTGTTATCGTCATTAGTATTGTTGCCGTAGTTGCCGTAATAATTTAAAATTGATATCAATATTCGTAGGACGGTTTTTTCATCATCATTATCATTATAGTCATCATCATCATAATCGACAATATAACAACTTTTTTCCTCCTTTCTTTTCTAATACTTTCAACTATTCAGCAAATAAATTCAAAAACGCTCATGAAAAACTTGCTTCTAATTAGCAAACGTGTAATTTGATATCAAAAAAAAAGAAAAAAGAAAAATACAGAACAACTGGCTTAAACGTTGAATTAATAATCATATTTTAGATTCTAGGTTAGCCGACAAAAAAAAAAAAGCTTTTTTTCCTTCTTTCACTGTTTTAATCTGAATAAAAAAAATTCACTAATACCAATCCATTATTAATACTGTCCCCATTTCTTTTTTCCGCTATTGCTCTCGATGAAAGAGGCAGGAAAGTATAGAAAAGAGGAAAACGATTTACATCATTAAAATGTCTACACTAAACAACCAGTTAAATTACATACAGTAATAACAAAATTTACAGACACAAACTTAGTCACAAACTTAGACACTGTAACAAAAGAGTGAAAAAAGAAAACCAAAATTTTTTTTCTTACCATAAAAAATTTATGTTTTAAAAATTTGTTTTCTATTTATATCCCTGTCTTTATTCTTTCTATTCTAAACTCAATTCTATTATATCTTTACCTGAGCATTTATTCATTTGGCATTTGTATAAAAAAAAATAAGCAGAAAAAAAACAGAGATGTGTAACTCGATGAATAAACTGCAAAATAATTAATTTGGTTTAACAGCAGTTACCAAAAAAAACTAAAATTTTTCTATTAGGATGACCACTTTTTCTTGCGGAAGCTGAGGAGAAGGGTGAGGAGAAACTGTAAGGTATTTTTTTTTTTTTTTTGTTTTTTCTTTTATTATAAACAAACAGTTGTGGAAGAAAACTGAAATCTATGCAACAGGAAACTACGTTGATAACTGTGAACATTTATAAATTAAAATAAGATTAGACTTACAAGAAGATATAAGGTTACAGCAGTTAAACAATTTTCAATTAATAAACGTTGATCAGCCGATCAAAATAACCGTATATAACAAAAGGTGTTAACACAGTTCTTTTTAGCTCATTTTTTTCCTTTTTTAGCATTATCCGTTGGATAATCAAACCTGTGTCATCGACTTAGCTTCTTATGCTTATACTACTGACGATATTGGTAAGTTATCTGTCCTCATTCTAGCTGAACAATTAAATTATTGATCAGTAAACTGTTATGGAACAACTGCTCCATCCAGATGAACTAATAAACTATTCATGATAATAATTGCACTCACAACAACT